TCGTCTGCGATTTTGGTGGCTTCTTCGGCTGATTGCGCAAGCGGAAAATGTGCACTTAGTTTTCCCTTTTCGGGTGACAAGTTTATTGATTTCTTTATGCTTATGCAGGTGACTTGATTACGCAATGCAATGTCCATAAATCAAAAATGAAAAACATTTCATAGCATTATCTTACGTATTCTCTGTGTCAGTTAAAAACAGATAAAATGTTAAACTTTGGAATTTACTTGATTCATATCCATATCACATAGGAAATGGCTGATTACAAATTCATGGTGCTCTGGATTCTTGACTGACATTAATTTAAATATACCAATACAAATTCAAACCATGAATATAAAAATAAAACTTTTGACATACAGAAGTAACCAAACTCCATTTTACGATCGATATAAATGGTTTTCTTAATTAAAGTGGTTGCACACCTCAAGTGGCCGCCTGAAAGTGGGTAAGTATGAGCACCAATCTCTACCTGCATTGGCTTTCATACTTTCTGAATATTATCATCAATATTTTTATAGATTGTCAAATTGAATCGTCGATGGGGGCGGGGGAGTGGCCACTCCCACCAGTTGAAGCCCCATTCGCGGAAAGGAGGAGAAAGTGAGCCAAATGGCATGGAGCGCGAATGGAGCGCGAATGGATCGCTCCGAGGGTTATCATTATGTACTCATATGCAGAATCCAGTAATTACAGTACACCTATACATCTGCAGAAGCCTTGCATCCGATAGATACAATTTTGATTAATCGCAGCGAAAAGAGAGCAAAGAAATTAGAACGCCTGTGGAATTCGACGTGGCCTAAGAGCCGGACACTCTACACGTAATTGCGGGCTGTGCTGGACTCTCCTCCTGGCGTAGAGAGAAACTCCAGCGTTTGTAACGAACTGATAAGCGCGTAATTAACATGGCTAACACGGGGAGGCAAAGGCGGGGCATGGCATCTGTGTACATGTACACATGTATACATCCATGCCACCTGGCCCACACCAAAACGAAAACTCCCGTGTGCAGCAGCAGAAATATTTTTACCCCACACCGCCACAACGAGAGCCAAGGTATTTTTTAAGGCGTGTTGTTTGCCGTTTTCAATAGATTTTTGTCTTTAATGACTTTTGGCCAACTGGAAACTCTTGGCCAGGCTTAATGGCTCCGATCGTTTGGCTTTTGTTCTGCACAGAATTGGCTTTGTGGCTTTCGCGGCGATTGGATTTTGGGCTTTGGGTTTGGCTCTGGCTTTGGCTTTTTCTGAGGGTTCGCAAATGGGTTTTCAATAGGTCTTCGATCTTCAGGTGTCGGCATCGCTTTCAAGGGGAAAACCGCTAGCTGGGAGCCATAATGAGCCCGGTCAACTCTCCGGGAGATCGAACAGGTGGCTCATGGACCAACCAAAATGGGTCGCACATGCTGCGCTCAGAATTTTGACATCGATCCACTGGCTGGCTGGAGTTTAACAGCTTATTCATTTTGCTAAAGAGTTCACCATGTCGTGTTGACAGCCAGGAATTCCATCGGAAGAAATCTATCTAGTAACTTTTTGCGTGAAAGTACATTATACTCTGAGAACATAAGCAAGAAATAAGATAAGTTACTCAACTACAAATATAAATATAAATTGCTTCTGAACTAAAATGGTTGAATATTGCTTCTATTGAAAGGCTTCTGACCCCCCTTTCTATTTAAAATATTATAAAACTATTTATGGTAGATTATTTTGAGCCTTTTCTAAATGTATACAAAAAGACAACAAATACCATAATACAGACTTCTTCATTCAACACTAAGCGATATCAGAATGCCCCATAAAAGTCAAATTCACTTGCTAATAATTTCGCTTTGGCTTGAATGGCTGAAGCGTTTTGAACCTATTGAACAAACAGGGTTTCGAATAATGCAAAACAAAGGCTCAAATGCCGGGGAACTCATTAAATAAAATGAGAACAAGCCGTTTGCTTCGCCAGACTGAGATGGAGAAACAAAAAACAATCAACAGTCGCAGCAGCAGCACCAACAACAAGAATAAACCACAAGAAGTTGGTGCAAATAAAAAAAAAAAACAATAACAATAACAGCGACTACAACAGCAACAGGGAAAAATACCCAAAGATGAAAAGTTCAATGCACGCAAATCGGATTAAGCAAAGAAATTAAGTAATACTTGTATTTGTGGAAATCCATTGAACTGCAAGTGGGCCTAGAAATGTGGCAAATAGAAAGGAAGGCCGGATATGGGACGGAAGCTGCCCACCCGGCTATTATAAATAGATATAGAATAGATAGTTGTAAGTCAGAAGGGACAAACCCATACCTTTTGATCGCCAGAAATGTGGTTTCAGTACAAATCCGAATGCGTAAATCCAAAAATGGCACTGAGCTAGTTTATCAATTCTCACAATTATGTTTTTGTCAAAAAACCCGAGCACTTGGCACTCCAAATTATTTCCGAAGTATTTTTGGGATCGTTACGAGTTTAGAGTGCACCAAACCGGGTTTTCTTTAGATCACGCGGTATCGGAAATAGCGAACCGAACACATCGAATCTTAAAACTCAACTGATTCCAAGTTGGAGCTACCGAGCACACTCTTCGAGCGCCACGCGCTCAAAAGCTTCCCCACTCAAGCTTTCACATGAAACTAACTTTTGCGGGGCTTTCTTGGCCATTTCGAATAAGCCAAAAAGTCGACATATTTCTCGGCCAACGTTGCTGCGAGCTATGAGCTAAATATGCATGTTAACAAATCGAAATGTTAAATGTATACTTTAATTTTTTTTTTTTTAGAATTTCAGCGCTGCAATGAAAAGCCTGTTAATAAATGTTTTAATCTGAAATATTTAAGTAATATGAAATAATATTACTCATCCGCCACGGGGAACCCATGTCCAGAGCCGTTATGCAATAACTATTGAATAATTTCCAAGCCACAGAAGAAAGTTTAACAGTTTGAATGATTCAAGCTTGCAGATCTATACTGATTTTCAAAAAACATCTAAAAACTGCAAAATTTTATTTAAATTAAAAACTGAAAACTTACTAAGAGTAAAGTAACATTAGGGCCAACAAGGTGCGTGGGGTTCGTTCAACTAGATCTAAATCAACTAGATCCGACGGGATCAGTTCTTCCCCTTGCCTTTGATTTTCCTTTTGTGGTGGACTATGGTAGTCGTCTGCCTACTTGGTGCCACGGTGCCGCTGCTTCCGAAGAGGGAGTGATGTGTGTCGTGGGTGACGGTGGGATCCGTGGAAATATGGCCGGAATAGTGGCCGGAATAATGGACGGATCAGTGGCAGGATCAGCCCAGGCAGTCGAAACGAATGCCACGATGGCGAGAAAAGTTGTTAGCTGGAATCGCAACCTTAACGACGTTTTAGGCCGCTATGACGGTTGTGCTTCCGTCTGGGCGATCTCAGACTTGTTTTCCTTAAACAAACATCAAACAGCCGTTTAAAATCGAGTCGCAAAATATTTCAGTAAATGTAGGTTGTGTAAACAAAGATCAATACCACACATTTTAAATGTAAAACTAGGCTATTAATACTAAAGCTTACTTAATTGTAGCCTATGTTTATTTCTTTTCGAAATACCTAGAATCTTTAAAAATAATCATTCAGTTACAAAGAAAACGAATGTATAGCTACAAGTTAATAAGAATCCGAAGTATTGAAATAAAAGATTATTCTGCGTCATAACTTCGTATTTATTTTCCGTTTAACTACAAAGTGAAATACTTTAATAACTGACGCTCAATGGAATGTAAATTTAAACCGGACTGGAGAGCCGCATAAGTACGATTTTGAATAGTTATGAACCGAACTTTGAACCAAGTCTACCGGTTGGAAATAAAAACATCAATTGTTGTGTTCTTTAACTGCTAACTGACAATACTTTAATTCTTTATTGCCGCAGATACTTATCATATTCATATCGACTAAGATCTACATCTATATAGAAAGTTCGTATGAGAAAACCAATTCACCATTCAGCCGAGTACCTCGACATGTTTAAAGCGATCTTTTTTTTGCGGTTTGTGGGCGTTTCAATCTTTTCACTAGTAGACTCGCTAGAGTCTGCATGCTTAATCCTAGCAGCACAGTCCAAAGGACAGACTAATATGGTCAGATCGCTTCGCCTAGCGATTCTGATCAGAAATATACTTTATAGGGTCGGAAACGATGTCTTCTGTTTGTTTTGACACTTTCCACCATATCAAGTATGCACATGTTCATTTTACTGTACTATGTCTGCATTAAATAAGAGTATTCATTTCAGAATATAATATAGTCATTTAATCTTAAGGGAAATATAAAAATAAGAGTAAAAGAAAAAGAAAAACACGGGAATGAATGTCGAGAGTTGTCTGGCCAAATCTGTTATGTCGGGGGGATTCGAAATTGGGTTTCAACTTTAGTTTCGTCGGGATTCCGTCTTGTTGGACGACTTCTTCCTGCCCTTGCCTTTGCGGGAGTGTCGGATAGTGCGCCGCTTGGCAGGCCTATGGATTTTCCTCTTGTAGTGGACAATCGTCTTCTTCTTCTTACTCGATGAGGTGCTCCCGGTGGTGGGTGCGGCGGTGGTTGCGGGGGCAGTGGCAGGAGCAGTAGTAGTAGCAGCGGCAGGAGCAGTGGGAGTAGCAGCGGCAGGAGCAGTAGGAGTAGCAGCGGCAGGAGCAGGAGGAGTAGCAGCGGCAGGAGCAGTAGGAGTAGCAGCGGCAGGAGCAGTGGGAGCAGCAGCGGCAGGAGCAGTAGCAGCTGCACTGGCCACGATGGCAAGACAGATAATTAGATGGGCTTGCATCTTGGATTATAGCCGCGATTGGTGAGACTATTGTACGTAGTCTGGATAAAACAAGAGTATTTATAGCTAAATTGTTGGAAGATTTCTTAAACACGTTTCGCTCAAGCAAACAATTTTATACATTTATGTTTGATTACTTGCGATTGTTAGTTCGAGGTTGTTTAAACAGCAAATGAACCATATTTTTGATGCGCGCTTTATTTAACATGAGTAAATAGACTCATTAGACTATTAAATCGAAAATATAAGACTCTGAAATAGATGTTCGACAATACGGATATTGTGAAAACCCAACTGCTTAAGTATATCTACATTCGGTTAAAGTAAAGCACACTTAATACTAAATAACTCACCCACAGAGTCCTCGAAATTAAACTTGACAGGATTCTCGGCCCGCAGTCGCTTGGCAATCTTGCGCCGCTGCAGAGGCACCACCACCAACTGCGTAAGCAAAGCCACCAGCATAGAAAGACCAAAACTGGCAGTCAGAGCTATCCAAGTGGGTATATTGTCCATGTAGAGCAGCTTGGGGCCGTCCAACACCACACTGATAACGTTGATGAAGAACGTTACACCATAGAAAATGGGCAGCGATCGAAATCCGGCCTTGAGCGGCTCCTGGGCACGTAGGATGAAGCGACGAATGGCGAGGAAGAGCAGGATGCTCACAACTCCACTCAGCACCGGTGAGATGAACCACGATCCAACAATTGTGCCCAAAGTACACCTCTTCAGGCCCTGAACGCCGCGCGCCACTAGTGAAAATCCAATGGTAGAGCCCACGATACTGTGCGTTCCCGAAATGGGCAGCTTCAAAAAGGTGGCCACCAGCAGCCAAACGGCACTACTGGCCAAAGCGGCCACGCAGCCCAGCATTAGCACCTCCTCGGCGCCCTCGTATAGACCAACTTCCAGGATTCCCTTGCGCATGGTGTCCGATACCTTGTAGCCTGTACGATTAGATCGATATTATCTATACAGTTCGCAAATGCAATTATAATATTTCGTTTTTTATTTCTTACCAATTAACACGGCACCGGAAATTTCGCAAATTGTGGCCAGAACGCATGCCTGCCGGATGGTCAGAACTCCAGAGCCGACACTGGTGCCAAATGAGTTGGCCACGTCGTTGGCACCGATGCCAAAGGCCAGGACAAAGGCGATTAGGAACCCTATGACTACCATCCATAGTAATTCCGGCGCAAAGCTCTCCATGATGCCGATTGTGAGATTCGGTGTTCAATGTAATTCAAAAATCTTCGGCGCAATCCACTAAATTCTCTCAACTCTAACTAAATACTGATTGCTCTTCTTGCTCCTTGAAAACTGAACGCAAACTGTATGTAATTGGGTGGTGCGGATTTAACTGGGTGGATGACTTGAGTTGTGCAAAACAGTCGTTTGGAACTTATAAAATACAAGACTACGTAACAAATGAGGGTCGAAACAAAAATCCAAATTGATTAATAAGTGAGAAATTCTTTTCAAATATTCTCTAAACAGCCATATTTGCGCTTAAACTTCATTGTCGTTATTTTCATAATGAAAATGGGGCAACAATTCGCCGCTTGGAACTGCGAGGATGCGATACTTAGGTACTAAGATACTAATTACCCTGCTATATTAACTCTTTGATTAAACCCTTCGGTTTGGAGTCGCTCGCCTCAAAGCTGACGATCAGCTCTATCTTAAATTAAGCAATAAATAAATAAAACCCTACAAATAACCCTGGGCTGGACAAAACACCGATTTTTTTAAATTTTAAAATTAAAGTCCTTCTTCTTCGCTGAGATGAAAATAAAATGGATTGAATGGCAACTACAAAACAACAACAGATGGCACAGGTCCGAGATGCACTTAAAATGGTTCTTGTTCCTTTCTTAAGCAAGACGAAATGTAAAACATCTTCTTAAGACCACCATAACCCTTCATCTAATGTACGGCTCAAAACTTATTGAGTATACTTTTAGATATCTTACCCATTCAGTTACAAAGAAAACGGATGTATAGCTACAAGTTGATAAGAATCCGAAGTATTGAAATAAAAGATTATTCTGTGTCATAACTTCGTATTTATTTTCCGTATAACTACAAAGTGAAATACTTTACGAACTGACGCTCAATGGAATGTAAATTTAAACCGGACTGGAGAGCCGCATAAGTACGATTTTGAATAGTTATGAACCGAACTTTGAACCAAGTCTACCGGTTGGAAATAAAAACACCAATTGGATTTGACACGAAAATAAGAGAATATAAAATAAAAATTATTCTCACAACAATGTATAAACATTTTCTGTTGTACATAGTTTGTATTTTATTCAAGTGTTTCGCTCTGATCTATTAATTGGTGTAAAATAACTTGAGTGGTTGCAACTAACTTTACAAGTGAGTTTTAAATGCTTTTTTAAGTAAAGTGAAGTTGGGTATAAACTAATCGAGGTGTATAAATATAAAATCAAATCACGACTTGCTTGGCGTACACATATTAAATAATATTAATATCAGTTAGACTCAGAGACGTTCTATGAGCTCAAAACAATGCTTTAGTTAGGCGAGTAATTTAGTTAAGATTTTACCACTTTTCCTTCAGTTTCCTTTTGCGTGTTTAATATTAAGTTTTGTGTTTTCCAACTTGTACAATTACGAAACATTATTTTGGTTTTGCAATTACAATTAATAATTGAATGGCATTCTTTGTTCCATACTTAGGCTCCACCCATGTTGTCCACGGCGATGGCACACAGCACATACATCATTCCGGCGCTGAGAACAGCCGTAACCGGCACCGTCACGATCCAGGCATAGGCAATGTTCCGGAAAAGATGCCAATCAACACTGCCATCATCCGTGGGCGCAACGTCGTTATGAGCGTCCTTATTGCTCTGAACCTTCGACTGACCCTTGGTGCGACCTGCAGCACTCACATGACCCACGAAAACCACCGAACCGACCTTGCAGTGAGTGGTCGAAATGGGCAGGCCAATTTTGCTGGCCAGCAGTACGGTGATGGCAGCTCCCACTTCAATAGTAAAGCCACTGAAAAGGAGTTGAAGTTCAAAGGAAATAAATATTTTAGGGATATAGGATAGAATAATAATGAATACTCACGTTGATGAGGTAATTTTCGTAAGGTCATTGCCAATTGTCTCGATGACTCGTCGTCCCCACAGCCAGAGACCCACAGAGATGCCGATGCCGCCATAGATTAGAATGTAAATGGGACTCTCAGCCTGCTGCATAACCGATCCCTCGCGATAGATCATATAGAGTGCAATTAGTGGGCCGATGGCGTTGCTCACATCATTGCCGCCATGCGCGAAACTGCCGAAGGTGGCTGTCAGGATCTGGAGGAACGAGAATAGCATGGATATCTCCGGAGTCTCCTCTGCGCCACTAGGTCTTCGCCCACCGGCCGCCGTACGCTTGAGCTCCTCCTCCTGCTCATTCAGCGCCTCCTTGCTCTCGATCAGAGGAACCTTGCTGGAATTGGGCGATAAAGTGGAATTGATCATGAGATCAAGGCTGCCACCGCTCTCCACCACTTGAAGGTTGTTATTGGTAGTTTTGGTAGACCCGGGTTCCAAGTCCGCGCCAATGGGGTTCGCCTTGTTCTTTAAAATAAAACGAACGCAGATTAGACGAAGCAATCAAATTAGCTGGGACTAAACAGGTACCTTCTGCTCCTCCTTGGGCGATTGCATCCGCTTGAAGCACTCCTGCAACTTGCGTCCATTTTGCTGCTGCTGCTGTTGTTGCTGCTGCTCGTCGATAAAATTCAGACTGGTGATCGTGAGGTCCGTGTTGTCCAGGCTTGCCTTGCCCAGCAGGTCCTCGGCCTTTTTGATCAGCTGCGGATCGATCTTGTACTCCTCGCCGAGCGCATTGTTGTTCTTGGCCGCCAAGCCAAATGGAGCCAACTTAAAGGTCCTGGGCGAGTTGTCGCTCAACGAGACCAGCTCGGTTATTTCTGCGATTGCTGGCAGTGGTTTGCCTTCGCTGACCAGCGACAGAGGACGACGCTGCTTCTTGGGACTTCCCGACGGGGAAGATTCTGGAAGAACATATCAATGTTTATATTAGTATTAGCCAAACATTTGTTGGAAAAACAAAGACCTCATTATTTGGTTCAATTTTAAGTCGCATATAAAATTAAGTCTTAAATATATGTATTTTGGTTTAAAATTGGCTACAACCTTTGTGTATAAATAACCTAGATCTAACAAAATTTAAAAATGACATAATGAGCCGCGCCTTGACACGCAGAAAGAAACTGCTTGCTTGCGCAAACAAAGAAAACATTTTTCATTAACTTGGCTCTAAATACTATGCCTAATCAGCTAGGCAAAAGCACAATAGTCCCAACAACAAAAGAATCCATTAAAAATGCGCTCACAGCTAATTATCTTCCTTGCCAGACGGCTACCATTAAGAAGGATGCCTCAGACCTTAAAGATCTAGTTGAACGACCCACAAGGACATTCTTAACCATATTGATATTTCACTATTATTATGTGATCATATTTAAATTCGTGTTAAGAAATTAAATGCTTGTTTATAAAAGGAGTTCCAATATTTAGTTATTCGAAAGAAGAATAGTTAAATATAAGCTAAGGTGAATTCATTCATTGTTTTAAATATCTTGAATATCAAAGTTGTGTTCTTTAACTGCTAACTGACAATACTTTATTCGAATATTTCCTGGGTTTTGCCATAGTGTAGGCATATTAAGTTTGCCGCAGATACTTATCATATTCATATCGACTAAGATCTACATCTATATAGAAAGTTCGTATGAGAAAACCAATTCACCATTCAGCCGAGTACCTCGACATGTTTAAAGCGATCTTTTTTTTGCGGTTTGTGGGCGTTTCAATCTTTTCACTAGACTCGCTAGAGTCTGCATGCTTAATCCTAGCAGCACAGTCCAAAGGACAGACTAACATGGTCAGATCGCTTCGCCTAGCGATTCTGATCAGAAATATACTTTATAGGGTCGGAAACGATGTCTTCTGTTTGTTTTGACACTTTCCACCATATCAAGTATGCACATGTTCATTTTACTGTACTATGTCTGCATCAAATAAGAGTATTCATTTCAGAATATCATATAGTCATTTAATCTTAAGGGAAATATAAAAATAAGAGTAAAAGAAAAAGAAAAACACGGGAATGAATGTCGAGAGTTGTCTGGCCAAATCTGTTATGTCGGGGGGATTCGAAATTGGGTTTCAACTTTAGTTTCGTCGGGATTCCGTCTTGTTGGACGACTTCTTCCTGCCCTTGCCTTTGCGGGAGTGTCGGATAGTGCGCCGCTTGGCAGGCCTATGGATTTTCCTCTTGTAGTGGACAATCGTCTTCTTCTTCTTACTCGATGAGGTGCTCCCGGTGGTGGGTGCGGCGGTGGTTGCGGGGGCAGTGGCAGGAGCAGTAGTAGTAGCAGCGGCAGGAGCAGTGGGAGTAGCAGCGGCAGGAGCAGTAGGAGTAGCAGCGGCAGGAGCAGGAGGAGTAGCAGCGGCAGGAGCAGTAGGAGTAGCAGCGGCAGGAGCAGTGGGAGCAGCAGCGGCAGGAGCAGTAGCAGCTGCACTGGCCACGATGGCAAGACAGATAATTAGATGGGCTTGCATCTTGGATTATAGCCGCGATTGGTGAGACTATTGTACGTAGTCTGGATAAAACAAGAGTATTTATAGCTAAATTGTTGGAAGATTTCTTAAACACGTTTCGCTCAAGCAAACAATTTTATACATTTATGTTTGATTACTTGCGATTGTTAGTTCGAGGTTGTTTAAACAGCAAATGAACCATATTTTTGATGCGCGCTTTATTTAACATGAGTAAATAGACTCATTAGACTATTAAATCGAAAATATAAGACTCTGAAATAGATGTTCGACAATACGGATATTGTGAAAACCCAACTGCTTAAGTATATCTACATTCGGTTAAAGTAAAGCACACTTAATACTAAATAACTCACCCACAGAGTCCTCGAAATTAAACTTGACAGGATTCTCGGCCCGCAGTCGCTTGGCAATCTTGCGCCGCTGCAGAGGCACCACCACCAACTGCGTAAGCAAAGCCACCAGCATAGAAAGACCAAAACTGGCAGTCAGAGCTATCCAAGTGGGTATATTGTCCATGTAGAGCAGCTTGGGGCCGTCCAACACCACACTGATAACGTTGATGAAGAACGTTACACCATAGAAAATGGGCAGCGATCGAAATCCGGCCTTGAGCGGCTCCTGGGCACGTAGGATGAAGCGACGAATGGCGAGGAAGAGCAGGATGCTCACAACTCCACTCAGCACCGGTGAGATGAACCACGATCCAACAATTGTGCCCAAAGTAGACCACTTCAGGCCCTGAACGCCGCGCGCCACTAGTGAAAATCCAATGGTAGAGCCCACGATACTGTGCGTTCCCGAGATGGGCAGCTTCAAAAAGGTGGCCACCAGCAGCCAAACGGCACTACTGGCCAAAGCGGCCACGCAGCCCAGCATTAGCACCTCCTCGGCGCCCTCGTATAGACCAACTTCCAGGATTCCCTTGCGCATGGTGTCCGATACCTTGTAGCCTGTACGATTAGATCGATATTATCTATACAGTTCGCAAATGCAATTATAATATTTCGTTTTTTATTTCTTACCAATTAACACGGCACCGGAAATTTCGCAAATTGTGGCCAGAACGCATGCC